ATATAAAAATGTTTATATAATGTTTGTATTTAATTTAGTTATGTTAGTTATGATAGTTTAGTTATGATGTACGTAAATACAATAAAAATTAAACCAAGATTTAAATTCGAATAATTATCATTTTGATCCATACATTGGTAATGTCTGACTGGGCCTCGTGTCACTTTATGTTCAACAAATTTGGCCCCGAGGTCAAAAAGGTTAAGAAACCCTGCCCTAACCTATTGGACATGTTTATGGAGTGTACTGACAAACATTAAAATGAATTTTTACAGCTCTTAAAAATATAATAACTGATGATTTTTCTCTGTTTGCAGGCAGCTCAGTATCAAGTAGCATCCTTGGGACAAGGCAAGGACCAAATTTATTCAGTAAGACAAACTCATGTGCTCTCATTAACTATTAGCATTTAGCTCTGAAGTTTTCTTCTGTCCGTGTATCCATCCAGTATTTTTACCCACTTTTTCTTTTCGGGGTCACAGAGGAGCTGGTGCCCATCTCAGCAGTCTTTGTGCATGAGGTGGAAGACACTGTGGACAGGTTGCAAGTCCATTAAGGACACAGAGGCTGAGTCCAAATTCAGGGCCTGCATCCTTTGAAGGACCTGGTCTACGTGGGCTAGCTCCTTTTTGGACAGTGTAGCCTTCAGCTTTATTCCCATCCTTATCCCAGCGTATCCTGTCATCTAGCAACTGTGAGGACACTAAACAGAAGCAATGAAGATCAAAATGACTAAAATAATATATTTATTTTACAAATTAACAAATTAACCCACCGTTTGTGCTCGTTTATGATGATTTCTTACAAGAATAACCAACCCATTCTCACTCCCGAGTCGTCACATATTGACGCTTTTCCAAGGTTCCCTCTGCATCCGATGTTGATGCATTGGGTACTCCCTTTGCGTCATTTTTTTGACGAGATGGGGTGGAATCTGTTGTCATAATTTCTGAAAGTGTAGAAAATGCACAAAAAATACCATCCCAAAGCCTAAAATTACCTTTATTCACTTTAGACATCCTGTCCCTGACCCTAGTACCTAAACTTAACCATTTTTAGAAAATGTAGGAAATTCACGTGAACTACRTGTTCCAAAACCTAAAATTACCTAATATTCACTGTAGACATCCTATCCCTGACCCCAGTACCTAAACTTAACCATTAATCCTGATCCCTCATGTTAACCTCAGACCCCCCGACCCAAAGACCCCTGGTGGAGCAACCCAGATAAAGGACTGACGCGAGGGGGTCACCTGACGCGTCAAAATAAGACGCAGAGGGAACTTTGGAAAAGAGTCAATGTGTTGACGAGTCGGGAGTGAGAATGTGTTAGAATAACATGCAAATGACAAAAAGTCTAAGAACACAACCAGTTTAAACTTACAGTTTCTGTACCTCCAGATTTTTATTTAAAACTGTACTCTCTCTTTTTTTTTTCTTGCTTCGTTCACCATTGCAAACAAACAAAATGCCCTGCAATGCATCTTGGGATAGGATGTGCTGAGAAGCATCAATTGGACCTGTCCCTCAAATCAGGGAAAAAGCGGAGACATTTGTGGGACTGAATTGGAGAAGCCCTTGAATTTGGACAGTGTCGAGTCCGGTTCGGTCCTTCTGAGGCTGTCGGTCTGTGGCTTGTTCCCCTCTCGTCTCGTCGTCGTCTGCTTGCTGCTGCTGCGGGATTGCTGGAAGTTGCTGAATGTTAAAAAACCCTTAAAAAATGACGATATCTCAGCTCTGGAMAAGGTTTTATTTAGCGAGACAGATGGGAACAGGTCTTAACAGCGTGATGGTAAAATGGACTCTACAAAGGGCGACTCGAAAGCGCGCTCACATTCTTAAAGGCACAGTACACCACATAATCCCCCCTTCGATTCTTCAGAATCGACAAATAACCAAACATCCATACAGCTCGCATAAAAAACACATTGTCCAGCTGAAAATTTTCATTTGCATAATAAGGTAAATAAGACTTAAACTAAAATTTAGCCTAAAATTAAATAGGAACTATTTAATCCTGTTTGCATCCTAATTAAGACATTACCTTAAGGCTAGATAAGCTATGCCTAAAGTAATTAATTCCAGATTCGACTATCCATTAGCTATACCCCCAAACCTCCTGACAGTGACCAAAGTGTCACCACAGGAAATCCAAAGGCCAGCTATAAACACTAGACATAATCTAAAAAAGATCCACAGNCTATAAACCAACTCTTTTCTTTCTTTCTTTCAATAAAGTAATTTTTTAGTTTGAGTTTGAATTTAATTTGTATTTATATACCTCCCTTTGGCCGTGAAAATGAAATTGAAACGGTCACCGAAGATAAAACAAGTCACTACAAAGCGCAAACAGTCGATGCTCAGTAGCTGTCACTCAAAAATGACAAAGAATTAAAATAATGCTTTTTCTTTTTTTTAGTTTGTGGATAAAACAGAATTACTCGCCTGGTCAAAAAAAGAAAAGGAGCAGCCCCACAGGTCGTTCCTGCAGCAGGAAGTTATCTCTCACCAGCAGGAGGAGCTCCGAACAAAGAACCACATAGAGAGAGAGGGGAGAAAAACAAGTTAGTGCAAGCCAGATGCACTCAAAAGCAGCAAAAAAAAAAAAAAAATAAAAAACCACTCCTGGCTGCACAGCCATAAATCACTTCTTAGACAAGACAAAGGAGCTCCAGCAAGAAAAAAATTTAAAGCACCCCCACAATTTGATTTCAGCCCAAACCGAGCCAAGTCAATACACAAATAATAACAGAAAAAACAACAAAAACCCCACATTTAACATTAAACACACATTTAGGACAGACAAACACGCAGGCATGCCCTCCCTTGCTTGAACAGAACTTTAAAAAAACAACAAAAAAAACATGACATGCCTCCCTTTAAACTTCCAGGAACTAGACGAAGCTTCCACCACCCAATCCTGATGCTACCTTCCCAGCCTATTTCATCGGAATTAAACAGATCTTAGGCCTCTGAAGACACTGCAACCGGGTACTTTTATCCGGGCAAGATAACAAAGGATCAGGCTGAACGGCTCCGCACAACCACGCCCTACCAGTAGCTAACAGGGCAGCCAAGACGTCTCTTTGGCCGACCCGTTTCACTAGCCACGGAGTTGCGGCGAAACTCAATACCAGAGATGCATCTCATACACTTTTTCTTCAATAGTACGCGTACTTTTACTCATAAACCGCCAGAGAGTACACACACTTAACCCCTCTGCGGCGGGAAACACGTCGAGAAAAAAAACAAATAACTTAGCAAGGTTGAACACACACAAAAACAAAACAACGACAGAAAACCAGACATTAGACGGAGCCCATCGCTGTGATCTACCGACAAACCTCACAGGAACCGCCCTGAGTCTGAGGCTTAAAAATCAAAGAAACAGAGATAAATATGGCCAATATTACCCCCGTTAATTCAATATTAACTTAAGACTGTACAGGCCTGTGTCATGACGCCATTTATGATGTGTTCGGTTCGGCTCTTCTGAGGCTGTCGGTCTGTGGCTTGTTCCCTCCGTCTCGTCGTCGTCTGCTTGCTGCTGCTGCGGGATTGCTGGAAGTTGCTGAATGTTAAAAAACCCTTAAAAAATGACGATATCTCAGCTCTGGACAAGGTTTTATTTAGCGAGAGAGAAGGGAACATGTCATCACAGCGAGATGGTAAAATTGGACTCCAAACAAAGGGCGCGCTCGCGCTTGGAGGCGCGCTCACATTCTTAAAGGCACAGTACACCACAGTAGCGCCTTGCATGGCTGCTGGACCCGGGGCAGCTGTTCGCCCAGTTTAAACAGTTTGTTCCGAACTGTAATTTCCCATCAGTTGGATCAATAAAGTATCATTCATTCATTCGTTCATTCATTGATGCATTCATGTGGAATTAAGTCAGTTGGTTTGCAGTTGAGTTTTAGATTGAAAATCAAAAGTTTTACGAGCTAAATTTTGACTGTGGTTTTCATCAATCCGATGTGTCCATGTTTCTACACTTTGATTTAGAACTAAACATTTTATCAACACCATTATATCAATAATTTTCCTTTTAAGACAACTTATTGCACTAATAGATCAAATTACAGCAAACCTACTAACATTAGCACATTAGTTATGGGTGCATTTGTCTGAATAATGCCAGTAATAAAAATTATGTTCTTCACAGCTGTTCCTTTGGTCTCGTCAACATCTGGGACTCGTTTCTCATCAGGAACTAATTCTACAGCTGATTCTCCAGTCCTTCCTATTTATTTTTCTACTGTTAATGAAAAAAGTGCATCAGTCAGAGCCACAGTTCCTGATGGTGTTGTTTATTCACTGTCAACGCAATTTTTCTCTCCCACAACTTCTTCAGATGATCTTACTCCTTTTTCCACTACATCTCAGAAAGAAACTAGTAGCATGACTTCTCCTGATCCTACTCCCACAAGCACAGCTTATCCTACAGATCCTAATTCTGATACTACACCTTACCCTACAGATACTACTCCTGGTACTACACCTTACCCCACAGATACTACTCCTGGTACTACACCTTACCCTACAGATACTACTCCTGGTACTACACCTTACCCTACAGATACTACTCCTGGTACTACACCT